CGTCCGCCACCCGTCGAAATCTCGATTGTTTTTTTTTCCACGCACGCCGTTCAGTTTTTGTGTGTACCGGTAAAAGACGCCGCCGCCACCGCCGCACTTAACGCGCGCATTAATACTTGATAATTTTTGTGAAATAAAATACGCCTACAATAAGGTAATTCGTTCTTGTTTGTTATTTTTATTATTGTGCGTTATTATCATCGTTCGCCGTCCGGATTCCGCGATCCGATGCTTGGACGAGTTAGTGCGTACCATTTCTCGACGACGGTACGATATTGCGGTCGCGCGCCAACGTGAATCCGGTGCATTATTTTAGTGCACGACGACGACGCGTTCTCGTCGCTTGGCGTGCGTGTGTGTTTGATCGAGTGTGAGTGTGTGTGTGTTTGCGCGCGTGGTTATCATCGTCGACGTCGGCCTGCCAACAACGCGGACGCTGCTCGCACAGCTAATATTGTCGCCGACGACGACGCCGCCGCCGTTAAAACAGCATCAACGACGAGTGCCCCGCCGACGTGATCAACAAACAAGGTAAGCCGTGTTCTCTCAATGTCATCGTTATTGTTATGTTTGTCGTTTGTTATGATCGTGTCGTTACACACGCCCGCGTGTGATGTATATATTACGTGTTTCTACAGTTAAACGTTATAGAGATTGGCGATAGTGTGAAGTGCCGTTTGTGTTGAGTCGATCCGCGTATTTTCGGCCATCGCCTCACGGTCTGGTCAAACGAGAATGAGCAAAGAACATATTATAAATCGTCTCGGCCTACCATCATCGCCGCCGTGAATCGGTACGATCGTTTACTACGATATTATTTTATTATTTTTATTTGCTGGTTGTGCGCAATATTGAATGTATAAAATATATTTAATGTAACAAATGTAATTGTACGGTTTTTGTGGAGTAGGGGGAGGAGACGGGCCCGGCCGATAAGGTGTTTGCGCGATCGTTGATGGTTGTGCGGGAGAGGGGTGGCGACAGGTACGTTCGATCCGAAATATTTCACGATTTTTATGATCCGATCATACGGCGGTGTGTACAGTTCCTTATTCATTTTGTATTACACAATCAATCGACTTTCCGTTTACTACATTTTGATACTACATTTTTTATTTACGTGATTTTTGATAAGTCTCGGTTCGTCTATCCAGAATTTAATCTCTTGACCTTCTATGATTGTTGTAGTAATAGTAGTACGAGACGTGAGTTCCACATGTGCTTCCGAAAAGCCGTCACTGGTAAATAATCTTCAGTTATTTTACACTATAGCTCATTGGCACTGTAGTGTGTTCGTTGAAGGAGTTTCCCTTGTCCGCATGCGAATAATTTCGAATGCGTTGGTCAACGTGATTGATATTAATCTTTGGTACGAATGCGGTGGATTTCCCCTGTATATAAATGTTCCGTTTATGAGAGCGACACTTTAACTAACCCTCCCTAATTTTATTAATACTACCGGCCTCTAAAAATCATGTGTATTTTCCCTCGAAAAACAAAATTGTTGCGAAATTCCAGTAATTCTTAGTATTTCTATATTATCGTTCGCGCGTCATTATTAGTAAATATTAATTATTATTAGTCTTATCATAATAATAATAATAATAATAATAATAATAATAATCTGTTCTCAATTGAAAACTTGCTGATTGCGCTTTTCAAACATCACTAGTTCGGTTTAGCAATAATAATTAATTGTTGTTGTACGTTTTTTTTTTTTACGAAGGTTTGCACATTTTTTCTATACACATGAAAAGTGCAGATTATTATTTGTTACATAAAAGTACACGCGGCTGATGAATAATAATAAAAAAAAAGCTTAGTCGTCCCGACAGCGTTTCGCGATTATCCTTAATGCTGACTGCGAAGAGTGTGGAGTAGGTAAATTTGCTTACGTCGGTGTTTTCTTCAAACCGATTAAATTGCTTTGAAATATTTTAACATTTTTCGTTGTATACACATTAAGTTGTCATTGATTATTATATTGAACCGCAGAGAAACGTTTTTTTTCTCAACACGACTATCGCAATAATGTTGATTAATATGAGTATAACAATATTATTTCGGACGTGATGCTATCTACAGTGCTCCATCGTGATGCCTTGCTTCTACACGCGTTTAATCGAAATCGAATAATGTCGTCTGTCGAGCGTATATTATTTTATATTACTATAAAATTGTTTTTCTTGTGTTATAAACTACACAACGACCCAATAATGTAGCTACCGCGTGACATTATTATTATATGCGATCGCTGCATAGATTTTGATAATGATATTAAAAGTGGTCGTTGTCAAGGCAAACCGTGTCTATGTAGTTGTAGTAATAAGTAATAACCACAATTGGTGGTGATGGGCCGGCTGGCGGTGGTAATTGAGGCACCATAAATGGAAGGGCGATGACGATGACAATGCGAAAAGAGCGCGCGCGTTTTAACTGGTCTGCACGGCTGGCTGGCACGACGACGCGACTCGGTTTCGTGATCGTCGGACTGACGTTATGTAGTGGTCGGGGGGGGGGGGGGGGCTTCGCTGGACGTAACCGTCATCCGTTCTGCGGCGGCGGCGGCCCACGTCTTTCCACATCGGACCCAGAAAACACGCACGCACCGCCGCTCCATCCTCCCCTTGTCCCTCACCGTCTGTCGCGGTATCTCCGCGTCCCCGCACTAGCGTAGTTAGAAGTGTATAATATTGTATAGTATTCACTTTCGTGATCGCGCGGCGTTACCGACAGACCTGGGCGCGTGTGTGTGTACGTTTGCCTGTGCGGCGGCGTCGTTCACACCCGGACGCACCACATGCAGCCACCCGTCGTCGTCGTTGTTCCTTCCTCGTGGAACGCCGCCCGCTGCCGAATGGAATTCTCGCCTACGGACCGCGCACACTTAATCGAATCACGACGGTTTTCACGATTGCATTATTGTGTACAAAGTATAAACAGATATTATAATGTGTATACATGCGTATTATTGTAATTTATGCAACGTGCATGCGCAACTCGGACCAACGAGTAGGTGTACTGATATACGTATAATAATAGTAGTAATGTATTAGTATTCTGTCCATCGTTTTCCGACGGATTTTTTACCGTACCACTTTCTCACTCTCGTAACTCTCAAAATCTCCGCGTCCTCTCCGTCTCCGGTTCATTAACTGTGTTAAGCATTGTTGGCGAATTAAAAGCATACAATGCGATTGCGGTATCGCGCAGACGTCGTTGTGTAGGTAATTGCCGTTTTGCGTTTTGACCACGAGCTTAATTTATTTCCAAACGATGGCTATTCGAATAGTAATTAGACTCACTCTCTTGGCGGTCATTTCGAGATTAATTTATCGTCTACCCATCGCTATAATATGAAATATATTATTTTATCGAGGTTTACAATAACTAATGACCATGTGTGTTGTACACGTTGACTCCAAACGCTCCAATATATTTGACGAATATTTTTCACACGGACAATACAATTTTTGATATACATATATATGTATATATATGTGTTCATTGGTAGTTTGTGTTCGTTTTGATATGAATTGAATAATATTGTTCCGTGTTTTTTCCCAAATCGCACTAACAGTAGACACGTTCCCCTTTATATACGTAACATCTGTCAATAAATAATATAACGGCATACTTGAAAAATTACCCATATTGTGAACAAAATGGTGATTTGCATCACGAAACATTTTTTCCCGCGTATAGGGATATTTATTGTCGTTTTCTATGGTTAACCTTGAAAAGTTTTGTTGTCTGGAGAAAGGTAAAAATATGTACCTACTATTCTCGAACAACAGTTAACTAAATATAATCATCGACGGGCAGTGTTTAGGAATGGCTATTATAGCTATTACTTTAGCAACATTTTGCTGTCGAGTGGTAAAGGTATACCGCGAAAGAAACAATTATAATATCTGGAAAGAAACGGATGCTCCTCATGTGTTTCGAGGAATCTGTTTTATGTGATTTCATTTTTCATGCTGACAAAGCGAAAATCACGACATCAATTCGATTTCTACTTTATCGTCATCGTTGCATCGCCTCGATTGTGGGGGCATGCAGTTTAAAACATTTTCATTGCCCCCAGCGGGGCGCGGCAACGTCTGTAAAAAACGTGAACCTGTTTTCGTGTATTACGGTGCGAGTTCGTACAAAAATAATATATTAATATAATATCATACATTATAGTGTATACTTGCACGCGCTCGACTACTTACGTGAACTGCACACATAGGTAGGTACACGCATAATAATATTATATGCACACGCACTCTGAACGAGGACCGCCGACGTGCACAACGTCGTTACGCGGCCATAACGAGGCCGGCCGGTCGCATTGCGCGACTATCACATGGCACTATTATCATTTATTACAGTACCGCAGTCGTCATGGTGAACGGCTAAAGCAGTCGTGTTGGTGGGCAACGAAAAATCGGTAATCTCATCAAAACGATAGTTTTGGCGGCGTTTGGCCGTGTACGCGCGCGTGTTCGTATCGCGATTGGTCGTGGCATTGGCATCGGTAGCCAACAGTCGTACGTATTACATTCTACCCAATGCTCCGGGAGATCACAAAACGCGCGCACGCGATGAGCAGCTGCTGCCAATGTAGTGGTTGATACCTACGCTTTAAACAGTTTGAACAGTTAATCGTGTTTACCAGCTGCCGTCTACGTCGATTACAAATGCGATATGATATAATATTTTAATTTTTTTTTTTTTTGTTACGTTGTCGCAATAGTATTAACGAGCGCGTTCGTTTTTTTCGATCCAGTCGGCGTTGTTACAGTGTCGCACTTCTACGATTTATTTTTTAATTTTATTTTTGTGGGCCGAGTTGAGGGTTTAGATTATACGTTTTAATTTGTAGCATTGAGGTGTAGTACAAAAATATTAGAAAATAAGATTCATAAAAATGAATACATTTTCAACAGTTTGGTTGCTGTTGGATAATCTTTATTCGGGATTTTATAATTTGTTGTGAATCCGTTGATCACAATACTGATTTTTGCAATATATTGCGTATGTTAATTATTGTAATGTAATATTATTTCGAGTTGTCATGTACTCGTTAATGTTTTCGTTTCCCGCCATAAAAATGAACAGTGCCATCGTTTCGTTGTGTGTCTTTTTACAATTTGTTTGCATACTTGATATGTATGTCCGATAACGTCCTCACTCCTCATTGACGATGTAATACAAACTTAATCGCGGTTCACTTATGTAAACAACTACATTTCATCACGTGACATTTCATCGGCTCTACACGTATTTTAAATTAATAACGATCAATAGAAACACGTCCCCTCCTGCCATGTTATGATTTTTCTTTTTCTTTACATAACCCATTTTTAACGTGTGTGCACGTAACGTCGTTTTATGTATTCTTCTCACCTTTGCGCTTGTTTTCTTTTATGGACATGGTGACATATTTAAATTTTAGTGTGGAGAGCTACAATTTTTAAAAGAAATTAAGTTTTTTTCAATTTTTTTGTGATTTTAAGAATAATAAAATTAGTGGATGCGTATTT